GGTCCTGCCCTCGGTGAAGCCCCTCTGCTTTACTAATTGGATCAGACGTGGAGCCAGAAAGGCCAATTGATTTCTGTCTCCCCGGATTTTGCAGGTGGGATTCAAGGGGGAGCCAGGACGATGGCGTCAGGTCCCTGAAACGGGAGCTCACGATGCCAACAGAAGCTTGAGGCAAGCTGGACTTCTGGGGAGGAGAAAGGAAGGGCCTCGCACAAAAGCTGACGTGCGGAGCAGATCCAGAGGGAGAGGGGATGAAAAGCTGCCCTGATTCCTGTGGCTTGCCTGTTTCCATGACAACCTGCTTCCTCCATAAAGACAGCATCGCAGTGGCCTGATGGCCCAAACCCTTTATTCCGGAACATTCCCCAGTCTATCGTAGTAGAGTCCATGCCAGGCCCCCACTCTGGGGCACCGGTGGCGAAATCTGGGGTATGGCCCCCTGGAGCTGGCTTTGGAGCGGCCCTGGATTCCCGAGCTCCTCCCGTGGCCTCCGCATAAAGCCCTGGTTGCTTAAGCGTTAGTGTGAATGGGATTCTGTTCCTGGCAAACCAACCAAGCAACAGACAAAAAGCCCCCTCGCTGATCCCCGCCCATCTTGCCTGATTTGTGGCAAACGATAAAGGTCGGAAAGAGAAAAATTGCCCCCAAAACAGAGAAGAGGCAAAATTGCACTGTCAAGCATTTCTGATGATGGGCTCGCGTGTTCCCGGCGGCTTTTGTCAAGGTAAAGCTCTATTGCCTGGTGTGTCTGCTAATTGGCCTCCATCCCCTCCTGGGGCCTATTGCCTGGTGTGTCTGCTAATTGGCCTCCATCCCTCCCTCCTGGGGCGGGAGCTCAGCTGGGCTGCTGGGTGCGTGAGATGAACACGCTTCTAGCTCCTGCTCGTTTTTTCTGACTCACTGTCCACACCTGGCATCTCTGAGCCACCCCTGCTGACCATCCTGACCCAGGTTCACCAGAGTTTGCAGCCCCAGAACTTTCTCTGGGCTGAGCAAACTTTGTTTCTTTAAACTCCGTAAACACACTAGAATTGGATTTTCCTGTTACAGTTTTGCTGACTCCCATGCCACAAGCCTATAATTAGATGTAGATACAGGCTTGAGGTTGAGTCTTCAGAGAAGTTTGCTTTTTAAAAAAATATGTATTTTTATTCCTTTCAGAGAGGAAGAGAGAGAGAGAAACATCAATGATGAGAGAGAATCATGGATCGGCTGCCTCCTGCACGCCCCCTACTGGGGATCCAGCCTGCAACCTGGGCATGTGCCCTGACTGGGAATTGAACCAGTGACCTCTTAGTTCATAAGTCGATGCTTAACCACTGCGCCACACCGGCTGGGCCAGAGAAGTTAGCTTTCAGAAGAATTTTTTTCTGAGATCTCCCGCACGTTGTTTAGTAATTAGAAAGGGGAACATTGTACCTTACAGTGGGGAAAAAAATTGGTGCCCAAGCATCATTCAGGTTTAACCTGGATGTGATCACAAGGAGACATCAGACCAAACAACAGGTGGAAAGACCTACAATCTCTTTACAA